CTTTCAATCTTATTAGAGTACAAATTGTCTTTCATGTTTTGACTAAATTATTAAAATTAAACTGTATAGTGCTTTAAAAACATATGAGGAAAATATACATACAGTGTTATTTATAAAGTGTTTTATTTTTATAAGCATCAATGTATGTTAAAAGAATATTAAGTAAATATAATCTATATAAAAAATATGAATGATTGTTTCCTTTAAAACATATATGTCAACTGTGTATGATATTCTTTAGTGGTTCTCAGAAATATAGAAAAATATATTCAGATGTTCTTTCTTTGTGACATTATACATTCATTTTAACTACAATTTACAAGATCATTAATTTTGTCAGCTAGTATAAATCCTTTTATAACTCGCTTCTAAAATGTGTTACAATATTATATACTATATATATTATACTCGGGCATGGGTGAGTCGCGTGAATCGCATGACTCGTCCCTCACACACCCACGCGACACGACAAACGATGTGACATTTTTTCCATTGTCTCCATGCGGGGCTGTCATGGAATGTGTAACAATATGCATGGAGTAGCGTAGTGGAGCTTGTGGCCTGCAGGTGAAATTACTCGCCCATGCCTGTATTATACCATCACTGTATTCAAAGCATAAAATAATAAAAAGTTTCTTAAAAATATATGTTTACATCTAATGTTTGTAAATTTAATTAGAGTGATAAAGTAAAAGTTTAATTGTTTATACTAATTTTAAATTAGTAAAATAAATACGTTTAAAAGATTTAACATATTTTTATTAATTACTCTCCAGGACGTAATAATTACAGACATCTTTTGTACATTACATACCTATTTTTTCTAAAATAAAATGTTTTTATTGCAGTTATTTTGGTGGATTTTTTTTAATCTCATCCTTTATCTTCTTTAAATCGTCTTTTAATATTTGAGCAATCTTTTTCAACAGTTCTGCAAATTCTTGAGAATTTGTAATACGAGGCATTCCATGTAAGGTACCTGTTCTGGATAATATATATACTACGAACTGTGCAGCTTTTCTGATTGGCTTCGATTCTGCCAATTTGTTGACCAAACGTTCATTATTCATGATGTACATGAGTAAATTTCGGAAAAAACGCATATTGATATGGTTTTTTTTCTACCTGTAATTAAATTTATGTTTACACTTTTGGAACTTCAAATGTGCACATATTACGATATTTCAATAAAAGTTCTCGTTTAAGCCGAAGCTGTTTGCGAAGTGTTTCTAATTTTTGTAATTGTTCCTCTTTACTGTATTCTATTCCTGGTAGCCTTTTAATCTGGAAGGTATATATAATCCATTATGCACAGCAAATATTAATAGAATTGTATCCTATAAATTATACACGTATGTATACTAAATTTCAATTATAAATTTACTCTTGCCAATAACATTCTATTACACAGAATATAATATATATTATAATATAAGAATATAATGTAAAATAAAATTTATAAATTATTTCAATGTTACATTTTACACATATATTTTACCTGTGCCCTTGCAGAATCTAATTTTTTTTGAAGCTCTAATATTTTATGACTTGTATCTTGGGATTCTTTGGCTTTTTGTGTAGTATCATGTGGATCTTTCTCGACGCTAAAAATAAATGAAACATGCGTATTGCACAATATTATTATTATACAGTACAGTTCTAAAGACCTAATATTGTCTTCTCAAATTGTCCGGTTGTAATTTTTTACTTACTTTTACTTGAAATTAACCCGACAAATTAAAATAATATATTATGAAGAAAATATAAAATACTATTACACCTTTGTTTAAAAAATGATTTATTAGAACAAAGCAAAATGATCAATAATCCTAATCTTTAATATACTAAACACATTATTTGCCTCATTCAATGCAATGTCTTACTAATATTAAAGTGGTGAGTTAATGAGAATCAATAGCACATAAAGACCAAATTAGTGTTTGTTGTAGATATAAAAACATGAAATATATACAGAATATGTGTATTTTAAAAATAAGAATGTCAAAATGGTTACGACAGTACAAATTTATAAACATGTAGGTTATGTGATAGAGCTATTTTAATAAATAATGTAGAAATATATTGATATGTATAATTATAATTATAAATTTATTAAATACACAAACCTACGAATTATTTCGTATATAAGTGGTAGTATCTCAATTTCTAAATCATCTACTGTATACTGCCCGCGTAGAGGGACCTCTTCTGATAATTCTGCTGACTCCATTACAATGTTTTAAACATCCATATTCAAATTATATGTACACTTAGTGATATATTAATGATGACACATATAACATTCATTCTCTACCCTATACACTTATATTTTATAGATATTTATCTTCTTCACAATTTTACTTTAATATCAAAGCATGTGTTGTGGTTTTACGATTTTTGCGACAAACCCTCAGAATACAATATTTTGTGACGACAATTGAAAAGTGGCCTTAATTTAACCAGTAATTTTCTAGTTATGTGTATGCATCTATTATTGGTTTGTTACATAGCTCTGTGTTGGGATTTAGAGATATTGGCTGGTTGTGGGTAAAATCTTAGAGTATATACGTATAGGGTATTAGGGTATTATTGTCGGGGTGCTGCACGCAGATGTCGGGCTCGGGGACTTGAACGAGAAAGAGAGAGGGAGGTCCCTTTGAATGAGCTTCGACTTTGTCTACATGAAATTGGAGAAAATCTTATGAGAGGCTTCGTTCGCAAACTAAACTCTCGTCGAGGAATTTTATGGGAACTCTCGTTATCTCTGTACCTACTCTAAACTATTGTGCCTGAATAAAAATATACATAAGCTACGAAATATACAATTATGACCATAACGTCACATTTTATATTTGAATTTCCTTCTCATCGTCGTTTATTGGAGAATAATGCGGTAGCGCCATCACAAATCATACCTATGTTCGTATGATTACGTAATAATATACAGGGTGTCCAAGATTTTAATGTTCAATCTTTGTCAGTATATTCTATGGCACAAAGTAAGAAAAAGATGTTATGTAAACATAGGTCATATAGAGCTTTATTAAGAAGTTATA